GACTAACGATGAGCAAGCAACTCGTTGTCGCATTTTGCAAACCTAGTCAAACAGGGACGCCGTTAATAAATTGTGCCTTTGTTCCCTCCTTCCCACCACTATAGTCTTGTTATACGTTCTATTTGTTGTAAGTCTTCATCGGATTTGTACAATTTTTTCAAAAAAAATGTGCTTCTTCAATAAAAATCTTCTCATCTAGGTCAGGTTTTTCAAAAATATTAATTCGTTTCAACAGCCCTTTTTTCAAACTTTCTAATTTGGTAATTATTTTAGTTGGACTTTTGAGCTTGTTGCCTAGAGGAATATTTGTTCTTTAAAAGAAAATATATCAAAATAGCATGTAAAAATGTAAAATGTTAAATAGTACCCCCTAATTTGTGGACATCTTTGTAAAGAAAAAAAAAATTCACTCAATCATTGAAAGATAAAAAAAGCAAATTCCTTAATGAATTGATGTGTTTAAAAGCAATACAGGGTTAGTCTGAGAAGAGTTACTTCTGAAATAATTTGGGCAGCAACCCATTATTCAATTCACATAGGCGTCTAGCTTCCTCATTTTTTTAAATTATAAAATTGAATCCAAGAATATTTTTCAATTTGACATTTAAAAAGTAAGAGTTAATTTTCGTTAATATAATGTATTATTACTTAATCTATAGAGAATGCAAGAAAAATGCTCCTGCGGCAGCAGCTCTGTACTTGGAGAGGTATCCAAATCGAATGCATCCGGTTTGTGAAACATTTAGAAAACTGGAAGCCAAGTTACGACAAGATTGGTCCTCAATGAAAGACCTCGTCAGAGAACTGCTACTGGCCCAGAAAATGAAATTATAGTCCTTGAAGCAGTAGACAATTACTTGTCATTTTGACGACTTAACTCATTTTCATCCAGCTCACATTGATTATTAAATTAATTTAAATAAAATATATCCAGTTCGTGGAGTTTCTCCCTCCACGATCCAGTTATATATACGCTACGTAGGTATTTTTGGTTGCAAACTAATTAATTTTCAAAGTAACTCTCCTGTGACTGACCCTGTATTAATTATAATTTAAGTTACCAGTTTTCAGGGCTTGTTACCCCTTACTTTTTAAATTCTACAGAGCATCTCGTGTTCTCAACAAAAATGTTGTTTGAGAGTAGTCCCCTACCTAAACAAATCAATTTTTTTTTATTTTTACCATAATAATATAAACCTTCTTGCCACCTTTAAAACCATGTATCAAAAAATAAAGGTAGTAGAAACGAGGTAATAAAACCTAAAAAATAATTAAGGTTGAACTAACACTGGGAAGGAATGTGTTTCTGACACACTGGGTAGCGGTATATAGAGTGATTCACGAGGAATAATGGGCCTGACCAAATTCTCGATGCAACCAACATTACATTTGTCGCAAAGCAACTTGCGAAAAATAATGGTGGTTGCATCGAGAATTTAGTCAGGCTCATTATTCCTCGTAAATCACCTTGTATTTAGCGGCGTGGCAAACAACCCAACATACACTTGGTACTGGTGCTTTTACCCTAAACAGATTTGGTAATAAAACCTAAAAAGTAATTAAGGTTGAACTAACTATACTGAGAAGTAATGTGTTTCTGGCACACTGAATGGCGGTATATTTAGCGGCGTGGCAGACAACCCAACATACACTTGGTACTGGCGCTTTTACCCTAAACAGATTTGGTTCATTTATTCGTTCCTTTGTGATATACTAATCTTGACCTTCAGCGGTTAGGTAAGCAAGGGTAGAAATAACAATATTGATCATAAAATAATAAAATTCTTAGACCCGGCTTCGGTTAGGAAAGTGGATGCAAGGTCAAACTACGATTAAAACGTTAAATAAAATGACAAGTCAAAGGGTAAAAGACAAAATGGCTTGGAATTAGTCGTCGGCGCATAATGTTGATAATAGGACCATCCTTTTTTGAAAATAAATTATAAATTTAATTATTAAAATCATCATTTTTTTGATCATGCCATTTAACCCTTCGACTTGTCATTTTATTTGACTCGATTACAAGTTATCTTGATCTCTCGATATACAGGGTTATTCACGGGAGGGTTATTTCTGATTTTTTTTTGCCGCAACCAACAATACCAATCTCACAAACTAAATTAAATTTGTTATTTAATTAACAAGTTAAGTTAATAGAAAAGGTGTTTGAAGTGTCTACCATCGACTTCTAAACATGCGCCTAGTCGGTTGGTAAACATAACAAAACATGTCGCATCGTTTGAGAGATAATTTTTTTACTATAATGTCACAGAGACAAGACTAATAACAGCTATCGTGGATTTAGTTATAATTATTTTCAAAATTTGAAATCAAGAAGTTGTTGCAATATGTATAATGGGTTGCGGCAAAAACAAATTCAGAAATAACCCTCTAGTGACTAACCTTGTACAGGGTGTTTCACACCACTTTACGAGGCTTGCGCCTAATGTACGGACCCAAATTTACAAAAGTCACAAAACACTAGATACAAAAAATACACAATTAATTATTTAATTTTTGGAAATCCATGACAGTAGTTGTCGAACTAATCGCTGTTAATTAATAGTCATAAACTGCAGTTTTCCAGAAACAATTATCATTTGTTCTATCAAGAATCGGCATGAATATGATTCTAGTTTATCTATCTTAATCATTAACTAACTAAATACGTTATAATTTTTGAAAGGGTGAACAAACTAGAGAAGATTTTCCAATTTTTCAAAAATTTTTAATCGAGTTCGTATCGGAATATGTATTATTGATTGCATTTTACAGCCGCAGGCCACGTAAAATTACGTAAAACACCCTGTATTTACTTTCTCAAAATCAAAAAGTGTGACTGCCTAATTTTGAAATGATTTACTTGATGATTTTACTTTTGCCTTAGTTTTTATCAAAATTCGAAGGTGTTCAGTTTCCAATAGGTTTGATTTGTTTTTCTTGATTTTTTACAAATTTGTGGACATTATCCGTGCCATAACCATCGCCTCTTTGGCAACGTCGCAACTGCGTTTTTTTGAGGTGAAATAGGCCAAAAACATTTAATTTCTGTTTAAAAAAAGAATCTTTGTTACAACTGAACCCTACTAACAAATTTTTCGGCGTTCTTAGTATAAAAATTATAACTTTTGAAATTCAATTTTGACCATTCTTACCAACAATTTCTAGTTCCGTTGATTTGAGAGAGTGAAGGATCTTTGTTTCTTTCTGGTTATATCACTGATTAATAAAAATCCTGTAAGAAATAAAATAATTCTCAAATTTACTTCAAATTTACATGCTAAGAATAGTTGCAAAGAAATTGTTAAATTATTTTTCAAGGGTTTGTTGTAACGTTTTCTAAAGCGTACTGAAGAGTTTATTCGCAATTTCGCATACAGAGTATATATTATTTTTATTATTTTTTAAAAAAGGTTTTACGGGAACTTTTAGAGACAGAGCATCTAATTTCAAATCTGCAATTTTGCAAGTCATGCACTTCTGTTATGCTTCTGACTACTAGAAATAAATTGCTTGTAATACCTAAAATGTATTAAATTCCCCTAAATGTGCAGAGATGAACCAATATTAAAATAAAGTATATCAATAACCATTTTTTTTGTAATTTTGTTGTAATTAAATAAAAATTTTGTTTTATTTTGTGTGAGCTTATAATTTTTACGAACACAAGTTTAGTAAATAAATAAATGTTATAAAAACAAAAACAAAGTTTTTTACTAATTGTATTTTAATTAATTCAATTGCTCCTCCAAAAGTAGACTAAAACTAAGATATTCTAAAAGGCATTTTTCTAAATGATAATCCAATTTAAAATGTAGCTGAATATTAAACATTTTTCTTATACCATATAATTGCGAAAGCAAATGGAAATGACACCTCTACCTCATCTTAAAAATAATTTCAATTTCAAGGTCAAATTTTTGAATACTGTCCTCCACACATGAATAAATTTTGAAGAACCTCTAAAAATCAAATAAATACATTGGGGTTTGAAATTTTATCTATTCTAATGCACAAAGTTGTTATCAGAAAATATATGAAAATGTCATTATCTAATGTTCAATACTAAGCTGTAACTCATCCATATTAAATCTTATTTTGGAGATGGATAGTATGTTGTTTCCTAAATTTAAACGTGATCGATTAATAATAATTAAATTATCTTAAGCTGACTTTATTAGTTTCTTCTATTAGGTAATCATGTTTTGCAAGTTCAAACTTCCTCTAAAGTAGATGCAAAATCTGTAGTTAAAAATGATTTTGATTTATTTCAACTAAAAGCATTTCCTGTACCCTAACTCCGTAAATTCCAAGCTCAAAAACTAAAACTATTGATTAACCCGATCATCTCTAAGCTCACTCTAGCCTCAAACTTTCTTTTAAAAGCAATGAGCAAGACAAATTCCCCTATTCGAAAATAAGTAATAATTTGACTAATAACAGCTTGGGCACCTACTAGGAAGGGTTGTTCAATTCGGAGAAAACAAGATACCTAACAGACATCACGCCATGATCTTGCATTATTAAGCGAAATGGCCAATACCTAACAATTTGAACTCATTTGAAAATTGTTTTTGAAAGCTGAATATGCTACGTGAACCTTGTGGTTTTATTGATCCCAGATAGTTCGCAGTAAGTCTAACAAAGCGTTTATTTAACAATCTTTCCCTTGTTGATACAGCGATCAAACCACACATGCAGCAATGATGATGTGGCCTTGTAAAGAATATGGAGTCTCAAAACCCGGCTTACCTTTTAAATTTCTCATAGACAATATCTTTGGAAGAGTTGTATATAGCGCAGATAAAACGATAAGGAAGAGCTCCTCCATATTGGACACAAAGAAAGCTAGAATCTGGGTTGGGAGCCATAAGGTCCAAACTCCGTGCATTCCTTACGGAAGAATTGCCTTATATCTCCCACCCACCTTCCATTCGTTTCTTCGATGATTAGTCAATTATCCGCGAATTCCTAGACGCAACAAGGCCGAATCGACTCACCTCTAGTCCTAAACAAGCCGAAATCTTCTGTTGTAACCCTCGATCGTCTACACTTTCATCAAAAACCGACTTTAGATCGTCTAAACTGTCCGACAAGCACAGTCTGCAGCACGTAATGAAATTAGCCATTCTCGAGTCCGCCATCGTGATCCTCCTTAAAACTGCACTCTTAAACAGGATCTCGATCTTTTCAAGGCGATTTTCACCAACTTTTCACCCCTGATTCACTACACAAACCAAAACGAGGACATGTTTCTATGAACGCTGACTGCCTGGAACGGGTACGCCATGACTATCAGCTCCCCACTCATGACGGGATATTCAACGGAACGCTGGTCGCTCAGCTGCAAATGGTGGGAAGAAATAGCAGCGTGATGCCTATTCGCTGCACTTCAGTACTCTTCATCGAAGGAAAATTCTTCTTCCAACGCCAAAGAAAACACACTGAAATGCTTGACCCAACTTTGTTCCTTCATTTAAAGCCACAAACACTCTTTTGGTACTCTGCTTTCACCTTTACTTTACTCGAGACTACGCCGATAAAACTCGCACTTTATCGATTCATTCAATCCATCAGCACCACGAAACTCTTCCAAAACCGTTTTTGCAAATCTCACTTATATCCTCATTAATACAACCATTTGCAACCCCCAATAAGACTTTCAACTCTAAATGGCCTTTTTACAAAAATAAAAAATGCCGACTCCAAACTCCGGAATTGCTTCTATAACACGTTGTGTGAGTAGTTTCTGACCCATTTCAGCCGCTATTATCATTTTTATATCAGATTGAGCTGAAAATAACTTAAATCAAGTAGGGCTTCGATACTTTATATCTTGTAAAACTTTGTATCAAATGTTACAAAACTTCATCGTAACTTAAAATATCGTTCGAACATTTTTCGAAATCAATAAATTGTTCTCTTAAATGTAGTTTTCCGGTCAAGAAAAGGCCAATGACCATTTTGCAAAAGTTCAGCTAGAAAATCTAGTGACGTCCTTGAATCAGTACGGAAAGCTCCCACATAAAAAATGATTCTACAAAAGTGAAACAAATAAATAAAAGTCCACACAAGTGGAAAAAAGGATATTAAAAGATTTTAAGTTTCTTGGGCCAAAGTTAAGCCAAAATTTACAAATTAAAACGAATGGAAATGAAAAAAACATGGCGCATGCGCAGTGCTACCAACAGGTTACGGTTGTTTGCCCTAAAAGATCGATAAGCCAAAAACTTTTTTTTTAATAAACGTAATTAAAGTGTGTTCTTTATAAAAAAACTCATTGATGCTTATTTTAACAAGGAAATTTGTAGCCAGGGGGGAAAATTGTGATTCTTGTAAATTTCAATCGGCGTTTGCCACTAATGAACTTCCCTTCTAGTCGGTTTATTTTTGTGTTTTTGGTATAAAAAAACCTGTCAGGTGTTTTATTCAGTGAATTCTCCGCAATTTTGGTCCCGTTTACGCAAGTTTTGCTTGTTATAACCTCAAAATGTCCAAAAGACATGCCGAGGAAAGTACGAGCGGGGGCCCTCCCCCCATTAAGAAAATCCACTTCGAGCCTCATCTCATCGGCCCGGTGTCCACTCTCGAAGAGATGGATATTAAGGTTTTGCAGTTCCAAAACAAGAAATTGGCTCAGGTGAGGAAATTTGGGTGACGAGTTTGGAGTCTATTTTGCAAATTTTAGAGAATTGAGCAACGATATAGGACGGAACAGGAGTTGAGGCAAAGAATTGAGCAATTGGAAAAAAGACAGACCCAAGATGATGCTATGTTGAACGTTGTTAACAGATACTGGAATCAGTTGAATGAGGATATCAGGATCTTGTTGCAAAGGTTTGATGCTGAGACCGCTGACGAATCTGAGAATAAAAGTAGGAGATTGGAGGGTCGGGGAATGGTATTGAAGGTTTGCTTGCAGATGAAAGTGAAGCAACAACTTCGTTTTTGATGCAACTTTCAACTTGGGATAAGGAGGAGTTGAATGATAAGTTGGCTAATAGGGTGCAGGTGTCGCGGAGGGCTGTGGCGAAAGTCATACAAGCGTTTGATCGGTTGATGCAAAGGAATGAGAAAATCACATTGGCACTTAAGGGGGAACTGGAAGGACGTGAGTATTTTGAGAAAATTGGTGGGTTTTTATATACTTAAAAAACTGTCCCCAGAGGATGCACCCAGTGTTGACGAAGTTATTTGCCAAACCAACGTCCAACTCCAAGCTGAGAATCGCAATTTACAAGCTCTTAATACGTCTCTACATGAAAAATATCACTCAAACAGTCTCAAAGTTGCAGAATTACAAGATTCAGTAACAGCGAAAGAAACAGAAATTGCTGAATTAAAAAATCAAATTGACGATCTCCAATACGAGTTGGAGAAAGTCCGCAATAGAAATGATAAACTTGAGACACATTTAGCTGAAGCTATAGAAAAGTTGAAAACTTATCACCAGTTGCATGGAGATCCGGAAAAGGGGCCCCAACAGAAACAGATAGTTCAGTCTAATGTGTCTCAAGCCAAACTCGAAGATTTGACGAAAGAAGTAGAAGAGTTGACTGAGTTGGCAAATACTAGATTAGCAGAGTTGGATAAGTTACATCAAACTCATCGTGAGACATTAAAGGAAGTTGAAAAGTTAAAAATGGATGTTAGTACAATTTTCTTGTTTTTAAATGGTTTTGACGATTTTAATTGCAGATACGACAACTTCCTGAAAGTGTTATTGTGGAAACAACCGAATATAAGTGTCTACAGTCACAGTTTTCAGTACTTTATAACGAGTCAATGCAGTTGAAAACACAGTTGGATGAGGCTAGACAACAGTTACAGTCGAGCAAAAATGCTCATTTGAGAAACATTGAGATGATGGAAGTTAGTATTTATTAATTGTTTGTTAAATTAATTTTTGACATGTTTTTCTCAAGAGTGAGGAACTCATCGCTCAGAAGAAGCTCAGACAGGAAGTTATGCAACTGGAAGATTTTCTAGCTCAACTGCGTAAAGAATACGAAATGTTGCGAATTGAATTTGAGCAGAATCTGGCCGCCAATGAACAAACAGGCCCCATAAACCGAGAAATGAGACACTTAATAACATCACTCCAAAACAACACACAACAACTGAAAGGCGAAGTCCATCGCTACAAAAGAAAATATAAGGAAGCAAACGCCGAAATACCAAAACTGAAAAAAGAAATTGAAGATCTGAACGCGAAACTTGCCCAACTTCAAGGCGCCAATCAAGATTCTAAAGAAAACATCAAGAAAGAAGTAAAGCAAGAGGAAGATGCTTCGAATAGTGAATCGGGGGCGCAGGTTAAAGAAGAACCGACTTCTGCACCAACGGTGAAGAAAGAAGAAGACGAGTCAGAGGTACTTTTCTTGACTTTTTCAAAGACTTGGAGTTTAGTTTGGATTTCTAGCAAACTGAAGAAGGAGATGGGGATAAAGCTTCGAATTCAGGTAACTCACCTTCGGCCAAAAAAGACGCAGGGATTAAGCAGGAAAAAGGCACTGTGAAAAAGGAACCCACTGTTAAAACTGAAAAGGACCATCGCGAGGCACAAAGGGTCAAAGATGCGAAAATTGCCGAAAATGAAATGGTGCGAGATCTTAAAAATCAACTAAAGTAAGATTTATAAAATTCTTAACTAGTGTTGTTATTTTGACTATTTAGGAAGGCGTTAAATGAGCAAAAAGAGATGAAACTTCTCTTAGACATGTACAAGGGTGTCAGCAAGGAGCAACGTGATAAAGTCCAATTAATGGCAGCTGAGAAGAAGCTTCGAACCGAATTGGAAGAAATCCGACAACAAATTAAAAAAATGCAAGATAGTAAAAGGGACGATAAAAGGAAACTCGCCGAAGATGAGGCTTTGAAAAAAATCAAACAATTGGAAGAGCAAAAGTACGAGTTGCAAAAACAGGTGGCGTCGCAAAAACCGTCGGATGGTAACTGGGGGGGTCACAATGTGTTGCATCAGATGCGACCGTTTGTTGGATCGCATGAAGAAGAGGCGCTTTTGAACGAGATGGAAGTGACTGGACAAGCGTTTGAAGATATGCAGGTATTGTTGTTGTCTGTTATAGTTTTTCAGAGTAGTACAAAAAGTTGTAGGAGCAAAATTCACGTCTAATCCAACAATTGCGTGAAAAAGACGATGCAAATTTCAAATTGATGTCTGAGAGAATTAAGTCGAACCAACTCCATAAGTTGGCGAGGGAGGAGAAAGATGTGTTGAAGGAGCAGGTGAGTACTTTGACGACGCAAGTGGAGGCTGCGAATTTGGTTGTGAGGAAATTAGAGGAAAAGGAGAGGATTCTTCAGAATACTTTAGCGACGGTTGAAAAGGAGTTGGCTTTGAGGCAACAAGCGATGGAGATGCACAAGAGGAAAGCGATTGAGAGTGCCCAATCGGCCGCTGATTTGAAGCTCCATTTAGGTATTTATTTTGTATTGATATTTGTGTCTGCAAAATGATATTTTTCGTTTTCTAGAGAAATATCATTCGCAAATGAAGGAAGCGCAGCAAGTCGTCGCGGAAAAAACAAGCTCTCTAGAAGCAGAAGCCTACAAGACCAAACGTCTGCAAGAAGAAATCGCTCAATTGAAGCGAAAGGCTGAAAGAATGAAGAAAATGGAGTTGGCAGGAACCACACTTGATGAAGTCATGATGGAAGAGATTCGCGAATATAAGGAGACATTGACTTGTCCTTCTTGTAAAGTCAAGAGAAAAGATGCGGTTTTATCGAAATGTTTCCACGTGTTTTGCTACGATTGTCTTAAAACAAGGTACGAGACGAGACAGAGGAAGTGTCCCAAATGCAACTGCGCGTTTGGCGCCAACGATTATCATCGTTTGTTTTTGTCGAATTAATGTTTTTTGTCTAGGATTAAGATTTTTCCAGTGCTTTACAGCATAACATTTGTATTAAAAGGATTGGTAGTAGTTGGGCTTTTTAATTCCTCGGTTAAATTTAGATTTAGAAAAGTGAGATTAAAACTTTATAGTAAAATGGTTTTCATAAGACCTACTAAAAATTTTATGACACGTTATAAGGGATTAACCAAACCATGGCTTGAATTTGTAACCCTCCATAAATGGCACGTTCCTTTGTAAGTGTTGCTGCACTGTGGCTGCACCCACCAGAATAAAACGGCCGTATTTAAAACTAAAGTAGTGGTAGAGTTATTAAATTAAAAAAAAAATTAGCTTTATTTAATAATAGCTTGTTAATAACTACCTGGCTTTTTTAAATTTCTTAAAATACTTGACTTTAACTACTTCAAAAACTATTAAAACATTTCAAGTATTTTAGACAAAAACAAAGTAAGTAATCCGGACTTGTTAAAAACTGACCTGTTTCAGGGTCCAGGTGGGTTCCACTAATTTATGATTTGTTTACCTTCTGGTTTACTCTTAACAATACCGCGTTTAACTTAAAAGTAATAAAATTTTCAGTAGGTCTTAGGAAAACGATTTTACTTTAGAGTCACAGTGTCCTCAAGCCATTCGACTTAATTTTTTGTATATCTTCCTTCCTATGATGAAAAACGATTTTAATAATTCTAAAATAGGAAAGAAAAGAAACAGTACTACGTAATTTATTTATTTACAACAATGGCATAATAGTACAATCTAAAAATATGGTTTTATCAAAAGCACCAATTTCAAACAAATGACGTAAAAATTTTGTAAAAGTGAAGAAATAAGCCTTAGTGTCTGTTTTTAATTGAGAACGATCCGAAACAACTTTTTCTACTATTAAAATTCGTACATTTGGACGTAGAATGGCATCACTCAGCCTTTTAAATCTCTAGGAAAAAATTAAATAAAAAACCGATTTATGTACAAATCATAGTCAGAATGGCATCACTAATTATTGTGATTTTCACAATTGTTAGGCAGTGGTGTTGATCTGTAAATTAGCAATTGCTTGCAAAAGAGCCGCATTTGCATTACAATCAGCTGGTGCAATTAACGGCATTGCTGACGCACTTTGAAAATTCGTATTTTCCAATTCTCTTTGCAGCTCGGCTAAGGGTGTACACTGTTGTACTACGTTTTGATTATTGTGGAGAACCTGAAACAAACTTGTTTATTTCCGATATTAAAACAATAAAAGTTAATACTTCTAAAGCATTATCAATAGCTTGGTACTGTTTTTTAGCCTCATTTACCGCTTCTTTCAGGCTTTCACTTAGGACTTGTCTACTTGCGAGGAATTCTTGAGTTAGTTCACTCAAATGTCGTTCTTTTTGTGATAATTTTTCTTTTAAAAGAGGAACCTGGAACGGGAGATTAAAACACAAAGTGAAAATAGTTCGACTTACTTCAATTTGAGCCGCGTTTAGTCGTGCAATTATTTCAGGAGTCGGTATTTCGTTGTTTTCTTCCCAGTTTTTGATCGCCTCAGATATTTCTTCGTCTTTCATCTTCATCTCAAGCTCGGCTTTAGCCAGTGCTGTGGATAATTCGCATACATCTTGGTTCAATTTCTGGAAAAACGAAGGTATTAATTAGTTTCATATGCCAAAATTAGTGACTCACTTCGACTTCCTCTCTTTGTTTATTAAGTTCACACTTAATACTGTCTATTTCGTTATTTTTCTTACTCATCTGATGCATCAATTCTTTAACTTCAGTCTTCAATCTAGCCCCAAGTATTTCCCAGTCTTTCAATTGCTTGCTCACCAGTTTGTTCGTTTCTTTTTGTTTATCGACTTGTTCAGAAAGTCTGTCTCTCTGTTCTTGTAATTCATTTGTGCAGTCTTCATTTTCTAATTGGATTATTCTTATGACTTTCAATAGTCGTGTAACCAAATTATCAACATCTATAACTTGGTCAACCAAAGAAAACGAGGGAAAAATTTCACATAAAGGCATTTCGGTCGAATAATTACTTCTAGACATGTCAACAAAACTGTCGCTTTGCGAGCTTAAAATACTGTGACATGACGAAATCATATTATGGGTATGACCGTCAGGAATCACCACGTCTTCCAGCACATGTTCCATCATCAACGAAGGCTCAGTCTCAGAGTCCAATAATTCAGAACTCGAATTTTCTGTACATAAATTATCCTTGCTTATGTCCTTATGACCAGCAAAAGGACTCTGAGCTGCGGCATTTTTAATGGCATTTATGACAGCAGAAACGAATGAGGAACCTTTTTTAGGAGAGGGAGTTTTCTCCCCTAAAAATTTCCGACTTTTCTCGGGGGTTGCATCCGGACTGCTGCTACTGTTACTGTAAGCCTCATTATGAAAAATGACATCCTGAAATTAGGAGCTATTTATTCGAATTTGGGAGGCCAAGTGATACAAACCTCCAGTTCCTGATCTGAAATACTGTAAGAAGTTACGAGTTCATCCACAAGCCCCTCTAAGCGCCCAATCAACGCTGATAACGCCACCGCAGTCCCTGACACCGAACTGCCTTGATGCACTAACAAGTCCCTGCTTTTGGCCTCAAGGGCCCCCATGCGTGCCTGTAAACTCAAATTCTCTTGCCTGGAAGTAAAATTTAGTGTTAAAAATTTCCAATTTTGAAATGATTACCATCTCTGTTCGCTCAGTTTCGTCACTCGTTTACACTCTTCTGTTTTCTCTTTCAATTCTTTGTCTTTCTTTTCCAGCATTTGTTGGTGCTTTGCAATCTCGTTTTCTGCGTCTTTTAGTGCATCGGAAAGGGTGGACTTTTCGGCTTGCAAGAACTCTTGCAGTTCTATACTTTCGGCTTCCAATTCTTGTTGCTGTTGGACAAGGATTTTCTGCGAGGCTAGACTTTTCTCGAGGTCGATTTGGAGGGATCTGCAGTAGGAGTTGAGTTTGGAGATTTCTTCTTCTTGGCGGATCACAACCTGGCTGACGTTTTGGAAACGAGATTCTAGTACCAAAAGGCTATCACTAGAAACATTTGCATCTGGAAAACATAATCACTTTTTAAAAAATATCACCAAACACAAAAAATGGGACTATTTAAATAAACCTAATAATTTTATTGTTATTATTATTTGATACATTTTTTACTTTTACTTCCAAATACAGAGTGATTTGAAAGTACATACCAGGTGAATAAAAAGTATGGAACCATGCGTTTTTTTCATAAACTAACCACTTTACGAAAAAGATAATTAGTGTAGCGTAAAGTACAATTAAAACGTGACCATTTATCTAGAAGAACATTTTTTCTATTTCGGTGTTAGAATAAGTCTATTCCAGCACCCAAATGACGTCATTTGAGTGATGGAATAAGTCGTTGGAACGCCAAAATTAAATTAACGAATTTAATTTTAGTGACGGACTTTCTTCACAATTCATTTTCAAATATGAAAATAAGAATTATTTTTATTTTTTACTGCAACTTTAATATACTATTCTTCTACTTTAAGTCTATTCGAAACCACCCCAATGTAGGTATCTGCATAAAAATCAAGGCTCTCCCATGATCAAATGCATGAAACGACCACTTCGGTTAAGTTCGGAAAATCTTCGTGATGAGCTCGGAAGGCAACTTCAATAATTTATTAAAAAAAAAGTACTGGCTAAAAACAATTTTATTTAATTAGAGGTCATTTTTAGATAAAAATTATCAGGGTGGGTTGCCATTAAAATCTTTTTTTCTTCCAAAACTCAAAAACTAAAAGAAATTTCGAAAAACGTTATTCTTGATAAATGGTCACATTTTAATTGTACTTTACGCTACACTAATTAGTTTTTTGTAAAGTGGTTAGTTTACGAAAAAATGCTTGGTTTCATACTTTTTATTCACCTGGTATGTGCAAATATTTTAACAGGTCATAGTAGAGCTCAAAAGAAATCAAAATAACTAAACTTGCCTTATGTTTATAGTTCCTGAGATAGAGGGTGCAACCTCCAGATTAGCGTTTTAAATTGTCAAAAAAATGCAAGTTTTTACCTTTTGAGTACTTTACCGTAAAATTTGCTAGCAATCAGTAACGTTGAGGTAATAAAATTGGGCGATGTCTTCAATAAAAAAATGGGTCTAAAATTTTTACCATTTTATGATTTTTTAATGACATTTTTTTGTGTGCCTATTTTTGCTAATTTTAACTTAATTTTTTTAAAACTATGCAATAGATTTTGAAGAGCTAACCCCAGAAATCATATTTGTTTACAATTCGAGCTGGTGAAGTTCAGTCTTTTGCGCCGCAAATTCAAATTTATTCGGCGAACAAAATTCTCTGTATCTCAAAAACTACATAAAACATTTGGATAAAGGAAGTTGCGTTATTTTGAGCTCTACTATCACCTGTTAAAATATTTGCACAAACCTTAAAAACACCCTGTAGTGTACAAAACTAAAAAATATTACTGTTTTACTGTATTTAATTAACATCAAAAGTAGCAAAATCAATTATGTTATTCTCACTAAGCTTCTTGTATTATGAATTGGAACATTACAAGAAGACCTTGAAACAAATAACTTTTAATTAATTTAAGTCATATTTCTTATTTTTTTGCATCTGCTGAAGCAAGTTTTACTTTTAATTATGTCGTTTAAAACTCGCCACTTGTACTGTACGATATATAAAATTGTCGCTAAGAAAAATCCCGAGTATCATTATCGTGCATTACAATTCTCCCTTTTCGCACAAAAATTTAATAAACTGTGCTCCTTCAGTGAGTCCATAAAATAAAAGCGCCGCAAGAATAATTTCCGGAAATAGTATCAAACATTAAGATGTCAAGTAATAATAAAATGGTATTATGCTTTAATGAGGCTAACTCGTCCTTGGCTGTCTGTATACTTTGTGTAATCATTCTATTATTATTATTGATTTGAACTTGTCCCCTTGATTTGTTTATTTATAGCAACTCATGCTTACCATCATCACTGGGATTGTTTTCACCGAGAATCGACAAAATGCGCTCCTGGTTCGTCTTCAATTCCACCTTCAAGCCCTCTTTCTCCACAATCTCCTCTCTTAATTTACCCTCAGTTTGTAAAAGTTTCTCACTTTGTGATTTATACTCTTTCCCTTGGGCCTCATATTTGTCTTTCAAATCTTTGAGTTGCGCTCCAAGCAACTCGATTTCTTTGACACTCAAATCGGCCTGTTCACTCTTATCACACTTTTCCGCGTCTTTGGGACTCATAGGACTCACATTTAGGCCAGCTAAAGCCTTTGTGACATCAGTCATAGTCAGGGCAGTTTGTATGGCCGTTTCATGATAGATTTTGACTTTCTGCTTCTTTTTTACTAGAAAATTTTTGGACGGTGTTACTTCACGAGACGCTGTCTTACTTTTTGGAGTTGTCAATCGAGTGATTTCGTCACGATTTGTCTTTTTGACTTCTTCGTTTGATTTTTCTTTTCTTCGTCGAGGAAGAGTGGCATATTTTTCGATTGTTTTGGCTTCTTGTTTGGTTTTGGGGGTTTCCATACTGCCTCGTAGAGACCTGGCCATAAGAGGGGCCGGTTTACTGTTAATAGAAGGCCATCTACCGTCGTCTGTCGGAGTCACACTTGGGGTTTTACGGCCCGAGGAAGGCCTCTTTGAGTCTTTCTTGGACAAGTCTAGAGGAAGCAACTTCTTGGTGGTTTTCCCTTGAAGTCTGTCTATTGATTTAACTCGGATTGGGTTTTCAGTTCGTTTTGGAACCGGAGGCTTCGATCTGGACCTCTCCTTCGTCTTGTTTTCCTGCAGATTAACTTTCTTCTTGGTGACAAGATTCGTCCGTTTTGAATTTCTAGAGGATGAGCTTCCAGTCACTGAGGAACTCTCGCTACCGTTTTCGCTCGTCACGTCTCCATTCCTGGTGTAGTCTTCGATCAGGGTTGAATTTCTTCTCACTAGGAGATTATAGGCATCTTCATAGTTGGAGCAACAGCTGATAATTGAAGAATCGCACGATCTCAAAGCGTCAAAATCGTGCGAATTGCCACTGTTTGAACTTAAAGCACGTTGGTATAAATCGTTTGTTTCGACAACTTCGACACCACTGTCACTGCCTTCACAAACTACCACCGGTTGTTCGATGACGGTGATGTTTATGATACTGTTGAAGCCGGTAATGGAACTGTCGGCTTCGTCACTGGTGTTCAGTCTTCTGTTGAATGGATCGTCTTCGGTGATGGTTTCGGTGTGAGTTGCAATGGTTGAATGGAGAGAAGGCGATTCAGCTTCCATGGTGAGACGGTTTAGTTGTTCATTCTGCAACAAGCCGGGAGAGGTCTATAAATAAAAGATTTCAAATGGATTTTTCTATGAGTGGCGTCGTGCCAGCAGTCTTGAAGGATAACTGCAATTGTGTGACCTTATGAGGAGATATCATTTTATAATAGTGTTTTTAGTAAAATGTACCTCTTCATACCTTATTTTTTAGTGCGATCGTGTGTTTGAGAAACGTAGAAATTGCAACTATCGAAATTTTTATTTTGGGAACTGAAATAGCTATTTATGCGAAATGTTGCAAAATGAGCGCGTTTTTTGCACTAGACGTGAAGAGTGGACCACGGTTGTACGAGTCGTGTGCAAAAAAACAGCCATTCTGCATCGTGTTTCATACAAGATTTTTCCAATTTGGTTATAGGCATCAAATTTTAAATTTGTGATTTTAATTATTTTCCAAAATCATACTAATGTCGAGGCGCTGCTATGAAAATAGTGTTATTTGTTATCTTTATGTCACACTTTTTAACACCAGTGATAAAATAATGTCATATTTTATAACTAGTGATAAAATTAAGCACATTTGACAACTAAAATGAAATGTCACAATGGTTGCTTTTCACAACCAAACTGGAAAAAAGAAATAAGAACACGGGACTGACAAAACTAAAACTATAAAAGGATTTAAGTTTATTATAAAATTGAAATTGGAGAAATTTTGATCATTTAAAAAATAAAAAATAAAAACAAAAACATTTAGCAAAGAATTTTTAAAATAAAATTTTAAAGATAGTTTAATAATATTAATACTAATAAGT